ACTGTACCCGGTCCCCTGGAGCCCGATACTGACATTTTGTCACGGCTCTCAGGCGTTAAGCTTGATGAGCATGCAGGTGTTTTCAACATGTGGACAGGACATACCGACAGCCCTGCATCTATGTTTCACTTTTAATTATTTGCAAGCCAAAAGGGCTGCGTCAAACATGACACATGGCCCGAAAGAGTGGAAAGAGTGGATATATTGGTTTATATTATATATACACACACATGCATGTATATATAAAGAAGTATGTGTTTGATTATGCGTACTTTCCAGGGGGTGCGCGGTCATGATTGTAGTAAATGAAAGGTTTCGTGAGGCCTCCTGCTTACAAGTTTCTTAAGCTAGTAACGTGATTGGTCCTTCTCATATAGGGGCCTAAATAATTACCTATACTATATTGGGGGGTTCCTTGTTATGATCATAGTATAGTATACCCCCAGACCCTGTTCTAACTATTAAGGCCCCTACTTAAGAGGGTTGCTTTGCCCAAAGCTCTCCTTTCATTGCTGAGATCCCTCCATTTCGGACTTGGGATTACCTATAGTTTCCATTGTAGTTCCTTTTTCGGATAACCAAACATATAGTTTAGGACCCTCACCATAAAATTTGTAAACCAAAAAAAGGAATTACAATGGACATTATAGGTAGGTCTTTGTTCCTGAGATGTTGAGAGCTTGGATGTCTTGGTGTTTGTTTTGTGTTTGAGGTTCAAACGACCCGCACCGAGAGTTTAGGATGATTCAGGGGTGTGCGTGCGTGCGTGTGTGTGTGTGTGGGTGGGTGTAGGGTTCGGGGTGTAGGGTTATGCCGGGCAATACTCGCATGATGCTGTCGTCGGACTTCTTCGTAAATGCTCGCATACGGTTCTGGCGGCTTGGTAGGAAACCGACTTGACCCTATAAACCCTAGAACCTAGACAGTCTTCTCAACCACCACTTGCGGAATCCGAAGTCCCTAACCCTAAACCCTAAACCCAAAACCCTAAACCCTAAACCCTAAACCCTAAACCCTAAACCCTAAACTCTTAAGCCACAGTTCGCAAAGTCTTTATGCTCCTATCCCTAAGGCTCCATGTACCTTTATAGTAGATACTTAGGCCTGAAAGTACCTATATAGGGACCCCTTTAAGGCCTAAGTATCTGCTAGAAAGGTACATGGAGCCCTAGGGTATGCAACCTCGGGTCTTCTCCGTCTGGCATGCGGAAACAGCCAGGTTCTGGAATCGGGTTTAGGGTTTAGGGTTTAGGGTTTAGGGTTTAGGGTTTAGGGTTTACCCTAAAGCTCTAAAGGTGGTAGGACTGTAGAGTTCAGGGTTTAGGGTTCAGGGGTTTAGGGTTTAGGAGATTTGGGGTTTAGGAGATTTGGGGTTTTTGGGGGGTTTAGGGTTTAGAAGTTCAGATTAAAGTTCTGCAATTGAGTGTAGGGCTAAGGCCCAGAAACACGGAAGCTCGCAAACAGAATTGGACCGGAGATATCACAAAGGCGCGAGTCACCACAGAATCGAAACTAACTAGGGTTATAAAATGTTATAAATGAAGTAACTATGATTATAACCCCAATTAGGGTACTTATAACCTGACTTACTAAGTCCCATGATCCTCCAAGTAGGGTGCCGTACTATATTGGGGGGCTTAAAAAGGGACCCCAATTTAGAGAACTCCGACCCCTAACAGGCCTGAACCCTATACTGGGGACTTAAAGAGGGACCCTAATTTAGAGAACTCCGACCCTAGCAGGCCGTGTTTGAGCATGGAAGCCTTGCACCCGAGGACGAAAGTTACCCGAAACCTTTGGATATCCATGGTTTAGGGTTTAGGGTTGAGGGTTTAGGATTTAGGGTTTAGGGTGGAGGGTTTAGGGTTGAATGTTTAGGGTTTAGGGTTGCTCTCAAGCCCTCTAAGTCTTATAATAATTAGGGTAACTCCATTTAGGGTACATATAACTTTAACTTACAACCTACTTACTAAGTTCCCTGGGCCTCCAAGTAAACCCGACTGCCTTTCTCAGCCGGATCCTGTCCTGAGCGCTTTAATTCGGGTTAGATAAAAGGCCCTTGTTGCCTCTAAGCCCGACTAAAACCTTAATACTCCGAAGAAAGCGGCTTCATAGAGCCCAGTGCCCCTTAATTAAGGAATATACCGTAAGTTGTAGAGGCTCAATACCATGATTTAGAGTATATCCCTTATTTCAGGGGTATTGGGTTCTCTGTGTCTTCAAGAACCTTCACGCAGAGCTGGGTTTACGGTTTTGGGTACTGTACTATGCCCGAAGCCTTATTCGAATATTACCCTTGTAGTCTCCCCTATAGCACCCTTTGAAGGGACGCTTAACTGAGCCCTTTATATTAGGGTCCTTAAACACTAAACAAGCAAGCCAGCCGGCATCCACACACTCAACGTCTGTAGACCGAATATTGTAAACCCTGAACCCTAAACCCCAAGCGCATATTACACTTATAAATCCCAAACCCAAAACCCTAAAGCCTTAAACCTAAACCGTCATGCCCTTATAAACCCCAAGCCCCAAAACCCTAAACCCTTAAGCCTAAACCCTTATACCCTTATATACACCCCAAACCTAAACCCTGAAACCTAAACCCTTGTACCGATATAAACCCCAAACCCTCAACCCTAACCCTGAGGCTCCTAAATAACGTTACTTGGAGGCCCAGGGACTTGGTAATTTGGTTATAAGTAGGATAATAAGTAGAGTGACTCCATTTAGGGTACTTATGACTCTACTTGCAACGTACTTTCCCTAAACCCTAAACCTTAAACCCTGAACCCTAAACCCTAAACCCTAAACCCTAAACCTTAAACCCTAAACCCTGGTCCCCTGGGCCTGCAAGTAAGGTTCAGGAGATCTGGAAGGAGAAGACGAAGCACGTGCTGGTCGAGGAATCGGTCTAGGGGTTTAGGGCTTTGGGTTTAGGGTTTGGGGGTTTAGGGTTTGGGGGTTTAGGGCTTATGGGTTTAGGGTTTAGGGGTTTTAGGGGTTTAGGGCTTTGGATTTAGGTTTTTTGGGGGTTTAGGGTTTATGGCCAAGGGTGTAGCATAAGCACTGAGTTCTATTCCTACCAACCCTAAACCCCGAGAATTTAAACCCTACTGCAGGGTTTAGGTGCGTAGGGCTTCGGGTTCGGGGTGTAGGTTCTATGGGGCTTTGGGTTTAGGTTCGAGGGAGCTTTGGGTCGTGTGTTTCAGTGTGGAGGGTTCAAGGTTTAGGGTTAGGGAACCTTAACCCTAAACCCTAAACCCCTAAGCCCTAAACCCCTAAGCCCTTAACCCGGGCTTGGGGGTGAAGGTCCAGGGTTTTGGGTTTGGGGTGCAGGGTTGACGGCTCAGGGTTTAGGGGTTCAGGGTAGGGGCTTGGTGGGTTGACGGCTTAGGGCTTCGAGGCTCTTGGCTTTCAGTTTGGGATTGGCTTCACCTGCAGCGCCCACAGGCGGCGTAAGCTGGCAACAGGGTTTAGGGTTTGGGGTTTAGGGGGCTCCGGCGCGATGGCCGGACCTTGCTGCGAGAATGGCCAAGCCGCGCGTGGACGTGCCGCCGAAAAGTCTTGTGCCACCGGTAGGATCGTCCACCGGCACATTTGATGCCACAGGTGCAAGGTCACCATCGCAAACCCCAAACCCTAAACCCTAAACCCTAAACCCTACCATCGCAACCAGACATGCAGAGGATGACTGAGCACCGGATTTATCGAGCGCCTGCCTGTCAACTCTACAGACCGTCTCGCAGTGCGATGGAGTCTTTAGGGTTTAGGGTTTAGGGTAGACGGTTGGGGGTTTAGGTTTAGGGGCTATAAGAATCCGGTTTTTTCCAGGCTTCACAAGACTACTGAGCCCCAAACCCCAAACCCTAAACCCTAAACCCTAAACCCTGAGGGCTTAGGTTAGGGTTTAGTGTTCGGGGATTTTCGGATCTAGGGCTGCACCTCTAGCTTCAAGAGTTTGGGCGTATCAAACTTTTACTTTCCCTCTAAAGGGGCCTCTACGTATATATATATATATATATACCCTAAACCCTAAACCCCGAACCCTAAACCCTAAACCCTATATATATATATACATATATATATATATATATAGTGTTGAGGTATTTTTAGCTTGGGCAGTGAGGGTTGTGCTCGTTTGGTTTAGGCTTCTGGCCTAAGGACTGAGAGGGAGATCCTGGGTGCGTTGCTGTTGGGGGCTCCTCCCTTTGGTTTAGGGTTTTGGGTTTAGGGTTTAGGGTTTAGGGCCTAAACCCTAAACCCTAAACCTTATGCTTCAAAGGGGCATACTAACATAACCTCAGAGAGCCCCATACTCCTTAATTAAGCAATAGACCTTAAACCATAAGGGCCTTGATATTCTGATTTCAGGTGTATTCCTTCATTAAGAGGTCTTGGGCTCCCTGGGACCCTCTGCTTCAAAGGGCCGTCGTAGTTTGGGGGGCCCCAGACCCCTTGAGGACCCCATAATGAGGGGGCAAGGAATCAAGCCGACCCAGGAGGGGTGCTGCTGTGTAGGGCCTTAGTATGTTTAGACTAAGGGTTCTAAGGGTTTAGGGTTTAGGATTTAGGGTTTAGGGACTAAGGGTTCTAAGGATTTGTATTGGTAATTTTGCAGCTTCTACATTGCATGGAAGCAGCCGTGATGCAGGGCCGGAGAAATAATTAGGGCTTCGGGTTTGGGGTTTAGGTGTTATACGGACATTGTAACAAGTGTAAGAATGCCACAAGGTCTTGCAAGGACCCTGATCATGGTTAAAATAAGTAGGCTCCTATTTCAATAACCTTTTTTCTTCCAGAGCCTTAGTCTAGGACATTTTCAGGTGGGTAGTTACCGTTATTAGCAGCCTTTTACTATATACCCTAAACTCCCCTCCTGTAGTTTCCTTTAATTAGGGGGGAGGGCTTTGCTGATGATGACCCGAACCTCTAGCTCCCGGCCTCAATCTCAAGCTGCACATGCTTTGAGGATCCATGAACTACCTGTGTGGCTCCCATTACCTAGGATTGGGATAGTTGCACCCTGACCTTACAGCATCCCTACTTTGAGTGTTAATGCCCTGTAGTAGGCTATATTAGACCAGACCATGGTTGCCCAGTAGTACCCTTTTGCACTTGTTTTTTGGGATTCCGTTATTAAAGCCGAATAGTGGGAAAAAGGGTACCCTTATTATTGAGGGGCTACTGGGGAACCAAGCATGGTGGTCTAAGACTGAGCCTCCTTCCAAATCCCTCCAAGACCCTCGCAATGCCATTCACAGGTCGCTCACAGGTTTTCAGAATATATGTGTTCAGAGATAGATAGAGATCGATAGATAGATAGATAGATAGATAGATAGGTAGGTCTATAGATACATAGATAGATACACAGGCGGATAACCAGCTAACTAGATGGATAGATCGATAGATCTGTGTTTGTCTGTTAGCTCATATTCATATCGGAGCAGCCTATTTGGGTATCGTATGGTTTGGTGCCCCTCACTTCTAGGGTGTCCAGCCCCTTCGACAGCCTAGATCTATGGCTAAGGCATGGTCTGCTGTTGCACGGTTTTTGCATTAGCTAGGAGTTTTCTTAGATAGCGGGTCAGCTTTTTGACGAACCCTAAAACCACCGAAAGCCCGAAGAGATATGAGATACACATGTATGTATATCTATACATGTGTATATATATATATATGTACATTACAAGATTTTATATACAGAGAGAGGGGCATATGTATGGGTAAGTATAATATACATATATATATATATGTGTAGACAGACGCTGTACATTGCAAAATCTGCAGGAAGAGCGCGGACGGCCTCAGATGGCCTTGGACGTTTTCCTCAACGAGAAGTTCCTGTGCCTCAGCGGCGGATGAACGATTTTTGCTGGGGTTTAGGGTTTAGGGTTTGGAGCCTTGGGGTTTAGGGTTTAGGGTTTAGGGGCTAGGGTTTCGGCTAAACCACAAATCCAAAATTGGCAACCATAATGCTTTGGGGCTGCTGTTGGGGCGTAAAATGGCTTTTGCTTACAACTCGTTGCGAGATGCGTGGTTCTGTTGTAACTTGACCCTCAAGCGTAGTTCCTTTGTGTTCCTAAAGTGTGGCCTCCGGAAAGAGGCCATAAAAACAAGATTATACAAGGCAGAACAAAATAAGGGTCGGGGCGGCTGTGAGTAAGAGCGCAAACATGCCCTTGATTATTAGCGCGTGGTCTGGGCATCAATGGTGTCATCACTGTTGAGCAATACTGAATGAGCTCCTTTAATCCTCAAATGCGCTCACCATTAGGTTGCAGGGACCGTCGAACTACTATAGGGGGCTTGATAATTAGAATGGATTTTAGGCTCCTTTATAGTATAATCTTAACAATAAGGAGCCCTAAGAATAGTATTGGTAATTATTCAGGGTTCTACATGAGAAAAGCATGAAAACCCCTCCTCCCTGGTAGACGGCTCAGGCCGACGAAGGCTCTGAGCCGCCCAGAGCAGCCAGCGCCTTGGGGAGGGGGGTGGGGGGGGGGGGGGTTTAGGGTTTAGGGTTCAGGGTTTAGGGGGGGAAGGACTCTAAATTCATAATATAAAAGAGCCAAAAACCCTATTCTAGTTTGTAAGGCCCCTACATTGTTTGAGTTTCCTGACTACGTAGTAGTGGGGTAGATAACTTGTAACCTTCTTAGGGTACTACTATAACCCCGATACAATCCCAAAGGTTAACCTTTAGTTACTTTAGTTCCACTAAGATACTGGACAAGTAAGAATGGTCCCGTTCGAGCTGAACAGCGAGGCAGACCCTGACCGATGCAGCGAGGCACATCAGCGATTTTTGCCCGGGTGTGGTTTAGGGTTTAGGGTTTAGGGTGGGCGGCATGCTTGGATGCCACTGCGGATCCAAACCCTCAGCCGTACGCTGCTTCCGCGGCCGGTGCGGCAGGAGAGCGATACAGGTGCTGGAGAAGAGCACTTAGGTGAACGCTCAAATCGAGCACCATCTGCGGAGCGAGTTGTGGGCGCTGGAGAGTCGAGGTATTCGCCACGTGATCCAGCTCCTGTATGCAGACCGGCACAGAGGTTGTGGAGCTGCCCTGGCTTCTCCTGGACCTAGCCCGACAGCGCGAGAGCATGCGGGATCATGTGCCTACTGTCAGGTCGTTTTTCGTTGGAGTTGTTACTGGAGATTTGCATAAGCAGTGTTACTGTTAGAGGGTTTACAGTTTACAGATGTCTACAGCATTTCTTTGATGCTCCATTTACCCACAATGTTAACATTTCATTACCTCCGGGTTTGTTGGGTTTGTGTCAAATCTGCTGTACATGCGAAGGTCT